CCCGAGTTCAATCCCTTGGACCCACTTAGTTAAAGGAGAGAGCTTAAGCCTGAAAGTTGTTTTCTGACCTCCATACATGTATTATGTTGTGAGCATGCATAAGTGAGCACACACTGAATAAATAATGTAATGATAAACATGTAAAAGAAGGCATTTGATAAGATTTTCTTTTTAAAAAATTGGCATATAGCTTCAAGTTGTCAACCAACTCAAGTGAATACTTGAACTTATATTTTTCTTGACTCTTCTTCATATGAATGTATGCCTCTGTGCCCTTGACTAGATAAGCAGTGTTGATTGCCTGGTAATGTTGAATTGCCTACCAGGGAGCAAGTTGAGTTTGCAAAGACATGTGTGCTCTACAAGCCCATGAAGCATCATGTTCTTTGGAGCCTGGAGAGCTGGAATGTGCTGCGTTCTGCCAAGCACCTCTGATTAACTCAGGAACTGTTGGCTCCTGTGTGGGGCTGAGCACAAGTCAGACAGACTTGCTTCTCTTCCCAGTTGTGGGGGTTAGTGGTTTTGGTTTTTGTCAACTTGACACAAGCTAGAGTCATCTAGGAAGAGGGAAAGTCAACTGAGGAACTGCCTCCATCAGATTGGCCTGTAGGTAAGTCTGTGGGATATTTTTTTGATGGCTGATTGATGTGGGAGGGCCTAGCCCACTTTAGACAGTGCCACCGTGGGCATGTGGGCCAGAGTTGTATTAGCAAACTGACCAAGCCAGTGAGCAGAGCTTCTCCACACTTCAAGTCCAGCCTCTGGGTTCCTGCCTTGAGTTCCTGCCTTGACTTCCATCAGTGATGAACTGTGAGGTGGGAGAGGAAGGCAAATAAGCCCTCTGTTCTCCATGCTACTTTAGTTAAGGTGTTTATCACAGCAGCAGGAAGCAGACAAGGACACCAGTTCTCATCTCCACCTGGTTACCTCAGCCTAACTCAAAATGCACTCAGCTGATTGTACTCTAGTCACTTAAAAGTCCACCCCTGGGATGCAGGTAGGTCATCAAGGAGTGGCATCAGAGCTTGACTACCATATGCCAAAGAATACTGTTGTCTCAGCTGCTGTACTATTGCCACAAAGAAATACCACGATCAGGGCAACTTATAAAGGAAACAGCTTAAGCAAACAAAAGTACAGTCAGGGAATGCACCTGGTATTATGCTTTATCATCATTCGTCATGTGAAAAGAGCCAAGAATATTCCTTCCTGGCCTTCTTTTTTTGGCCTTTCCACAGAGATAGTGTGGACATGCCAGGGCATTCCCCTCATGTCCTTACTTTCAAGTACATTCATTTATCATCATAGTTTCTGCAATTCTTTCTAGAAGGCTACCTTGTGGGGAGAACATTCTACACTCTGTCCCATCCATAGTTCACAGTAAGTTCACAGCTTTCTCACACAGGCTCCCACATGAACCTATGGAGGCCTGTGGTGGTTTGAATGGGAATGAGCCCCATCAGTTCATATATTTGAATGCTTAACCACCAGGAAGTAGAACTGTTTGGGAAGGATTAGGAGGTGTGGCCTTGTTGGAGGAGGTGGGCCACTGGCAGTGTGGGCTTTGAGGTTTCAAAAGTCCATGTCAGTCTCAGTACCACTCTCTCTGCCCACTGCCATCAGATCAGGATGTAGGTCTCAGCTACTTCTTCAGCACTGTGCCTGCCTGTCACCGTGCTCCCCACCATGATGATAATGGACTAACTCTTTGAAGCTGTAAGCAAGCCCCCCCCCCCAATTAAATGTTTTCTTCTATATGTTGGCTTGATCATGGTGTCTCCTCACAACAAAAGAACAGTAACTAAGTCAGGGCCATTCTCATTCAAACTACCGCAAAGGTCTTGTGGGAAAAGTGCTCACAAGAGACTGTAGAGCAGAATGCACAGTCATCCCATTTCTTTATTTGAGAGGTTGCTGAGAATGGAACCCAGGGCCTTGTATCTGCTAGGCAAGTGTTCAACCATTGACCTACACATACAGCCTGACAACAAATTATATAGACAGATGTAAATGATAAATGAAATATTGAGTAGCTCTTATATTCATGTTCACATTACATTTATATGTAACTCATCTAAAATCACGTATGTGCACATATGGGGGGAGTAGACACGACTATATTCATAATAGGTTGGGAACGATGTGGCTTTGTGGGGAGACACTATTTGTGTTTCCACACTGTTTTACTTTAGTCATGATGGTTTTTGCTTTGTTTTGTTTAGAGACAAAGTCTCAAAGGTGGTCTAGAATTAGCTTTATATTCCCAGGGCAGCTTTGGACATACTGTCCTCCTTATTCCCATTCCCAAACACTGGAATTGAAGGTGTGTGCCGCCATGTTCCACCAACTACATCCTTTATGAACAGAGAAGTAGATCAAGAAAATCAACAAGGTCTTTCTTCTGATTTTCCTCTATACTGATACAGGTGGCTGGAAGCAAAACTCCTCCCTTTCCCAGCTGCCTTTTCTTCCATCTCAGAAGTGGCTCCGTGGCTCCATGATGCCTACCCATGCCCTTCACTTCACCTGTGCTGATGGTAAAGGGTAGATCACTGTTGAGTCAGTAGGCCTGATCCTCAGGTCCTTGCCTGATCCTCGACCCCTCCAAAAAGCTTCAGTGTGCCCTTTAGATGCCATTAGCCCCACCCCGATGTTTTGGGAGAAGATCTTGTTCCTTGTCCTTCATCTCAGGGAATTATTCTTAGTTTAGGGTCATCCAGTTAACCACGGCATTGGCCTGCTCCCCATCTAATGGTCCCACAAATACTCACACCTTCTGTACCAAAAAGCAAGTCATTGCCAATTGATTAGGAGAGGATGACAAAACCAAAGCAATTTATCTTCTCTCTGCAGTACAGCAGAGATCAGTAGCGATTTGTGGAGTCCCATCATACTCCAACTATCAACCAGTGTCAGCGTAAAATGCTATTATGAAGCATTTTCCCAGCAAGATGCTCCCATATCTCCCAACACCATTATCGAGTGAACATGTTATAGAAACAGAAGACAACAAGCATGCCTAGTTTAATAGTTTTCTCCCCCACTGTTATTTAAATCACCTTTAATAAGGGGGCTCTGAGATGTATAATTCATAGCAAAGTAAAGCCTGCTTCCAGTTGCATAAGCTGCCCTGAGACGGGCATGGGAAATACACTAATGAGATGTCTGACTGAGTGTTAGCAGTGATTCCAGCAAACGTGCACCAGGGCAAATTGTACTAATAGCCTCTGGGCATTGGGAATAAGAGAGCACGGTGGGCAGAGTTTCCTAGCAAGATTACAAAGAGAGACTTCCAGCCCAATGAAGCATTTTAATTTAAAAAAATTACATTAGTCTATTTTGTATATGTCTATGTGTATGAGTATGCATACATCCCTGTGTGTGTGTATGTGTGTGTGTGTGTGTGTGTGTGTGTGTGTGTGTGTAAGTCAGAGGATAACTTGTAGGAGTCAGTTCTCTCCTTCCATCATGCGTATCTCAGGGATTGAACTCAGTTCATTAGGCTTGGTGGGAAATGTTTCAACCCACTGAGCCCACATCTTAAGTTCTGGACAACCAGTTGGTATGGGCCACTATATCCTGACCCAAATCCTTTCTCTTCCACACACATATTACCAACTGTAGAGGATGCTGTTGGTGTTCCACTTGAAAGGCAGTTGGGAGAAGTTTTGCTTTAGATCTGCACAAGGACCTGATTTATCAGTCAGTGCGGATATCACTCATCTAAGGTGGGCACTGGCTTCTAACAATTCGCTATGAGACCTTTCCTTGCTTAGGAACTTCTACCTTCACACCCCTCACCCCACAGCTACAGCTAAGGACTAACTGATCTGATGCTACAAAGGGCCAGTCCCCTTGTCCTAAGGGGACTATCCCCTAACAGCAGCCAGACCAGCATGTCGTTAGGAATGAAGCAGAATCCGATGGCAGAGCCAGATGTCAGAATGGGGTCTTCAGCCAGCCTTGTCCCCATTGACAGTCATGTGACATAGCCATGACCCTTTACATGTGTCATTTATTGATTCTACAGCACTTCACATTCACTGTCTCAGAGATACACAGAATGTAAGTGCTGCAGGGGCCTCAGTCATTTCTCCAACAGGTCCTGTGTGGGACTGAACTGAGTTCTACTTGACTTCCTACTGCTGTGACAAAGGCTGTGACCAAAACAGCTTGTAAGGAAAGAGCTTATTTGGTGTTTAGTTACTGTTCTATTGCTGTGACAAAACAAACAAACAAACAAACAAACAAACAAACAAAAAAACATGACCAAGGTAAATTATAAAATAAAGCATTTAATTGGGGGCTTGCTTACATTTTTAGAGGGTTAGTCCATGACTATCATGGTGGGGAGCATGGCAGGGGGCAGGCAGGTGTGGTGCTGGAGCAGTAGCTGAGAGCTCCCATCTGATACACAAGTCGAAGGCAGAGAGAAAGAGAGAGAGTGAGCCTTTAGAAACTTCAAAGTCCACGCCTAGTGACACATCTCCTTCAACAAGATGTAGCTAGATTTTTCCTGCCTGGCCCACGGTTGGTTACATCTACAACAAGATACCCTTAATCCTCCCTAAACAGTCTACCAACTAGGACCCAAACAACATCCGATCCTATGAGGGCCATTCTCATCCCAACCAGCACATATGGCTTGTGTCTTGATCACAGTCAATATTGAGGGAAGTCAGGACAGGACCTCAAGCAGGAGCAGAGGCAGGAGCCACAGAGGAGAGCTGCTTACTGGCTTGCTCCATGGCTTTCTCAGCCTGCTTCTTAAACTACCTAGGCCCACCTGCCCAGGGGTGGCGCTGACCATAGTGTCCTGGGCCCTCCCACATCAATCCGTCAAGAAAAAGCCCCAGAGACTTGCCAACAATGGAGGCCATTCCTAACTGAGGGTTTTCTCTTGCCAGGTGACCCTAGACTGTGTCAAGTTGACAACAACAACAACATCTAACTAACACAAATGGTGTTCTCCCCCAAACTGTGTTGAAGTCCTAATATCGAAACTTAAGAATGTGGCTTTAAGCCTTCCGGCGTGGCCATGGCGGCTAACTCGACCACGAACCTGTCTCAGCTCCTGCCACTGGAGCTCGTGGACAAGTGTAGAGGATCCAGAATTCACATTGTGATGAAGAGTAATAAAGAAATTGTTGGAACACTTCTAGGATTGGATGACTTTGTCATTATGGTGTTGGAAGACGTCACTGAGTTTGAAATTACACCAGAAGGAAGACGGATTACAAAATTAGATCAGGTTTTACTAAACGGAAATAATATGACAATGCGGGTTCCTGGAGAAGGGCCTGCAGTATGAATGGATTTCCTTATGCTAGATTCTGGCTTTTTCTTAAATGTCTATATTTTATAAAATGAAGTTTCCGTTAAAAGGAAATACTTTGACGCCTTTAATCCCAGCACTCGGGAGGCAGAGCCAGGCGGATCTCTGTGAGTTCGAGGCCAGCCTGGACTACCAAGTGAGTTCCAGGAAAGGCGCAAAGCTACACAGAGAAACCCTGTCTCGAAAAACCAAAAAAAGGAAATACTTTGAATATATACACCATTTTTCTAAGCTAATCATGGTTATTTTGAGAAAGGAAGAGGTTTGTTTTGTTTTTTAAAAGACTGAAAAAATAAAGATGTTTTTGGTTAAAAAAAAATGTGGCTCTAAGCCAGGCGGTGGTGGCGCACGCCTTTAATCCCAACACTCGGGAGGCAGAGGCAGGCGGATCTCTGTGAGTTCGAGGCCAGCCTGGTCTACAGAGCGAGATCCAGGAAAGGCGCAAAGCTACACAGAGAAACCCTGTCTCAAAAAAAAAAAAACAAAAAACAAAAAAAGAACGTGGCTTTATGGGACTGGAGAGATGGCTCAGTGGTTAAGAGCACTGACTGCTCTTCCAGAAGACCCAGGGTTCAATTCCCAGCACCCACATGGCAGCTCACAACTGTCTGTAATTCCAGTTCCAGGGGACCCAACACCCATGCCAAAACACCAATGCACATAAGAAGAAGGAGAAGGAGAAGGAGAAGAAGAAGAAGAAGAAGAAGAAGAAGAAGAAGAAGAAGAAGAAGAAGAAGAATGTGGCTTTATTGAGAACAGGGTAACTGCATATATAGTTAAATAGGATGATGTCATACTGGAATATGGGACCAGTAATCTGATATGGTGAGCATCCTTATTGGAAGAGGAAAGAGAGGAAGAACAGAGAACAGTGTGAGGCATCTGTAACCAAGGAATAGAAAGATTGTCTGTAAAGATGAGAAGCTAGGAGAAGCAGAATACATTCTCCTGAAGCTTTCAGAGGGTGTATGGCCTGTTGAACCTCACTTTCAGACTTCTAGCTCCAAACTAGGAATGTTATCTTGTCATTCGAAGCCATCAGTTGATGGTCCATTGTTACGTCAGTCCTGTGGAATGGATATAAGCCCCTCTTACATTTTTGGATTAGTCTAACCTTAAGGTAATGCATGCCTGCATTTCACTTTCACTCAGAGGAGGAAACCCACAGTCTGCCCTCAATTCTGTGTGCACAAAATCTGTGTGTCTCCATTTGGACTTTCTGTCACACGCTTGGTTTAGAACAACAAGCACGAGAGGGTTCTGAATCACGAAGGGCTCTACTGCCAAGGGTTGTATAACCCTTAGCCCAGGTCATGACAGCCCAGGAGAACTCAATAAGACAGGCTCTTGGAGGAACTCCAGCCTACCAGGCCTTGCTGTGTAGACATCTCTGAGCAGTGGTGTGGTTGGCCCCCCAACCACTCCCCCCACCCCACCCCCGCTCTTTGTTTTTATTTTTTATTGCTTTCTGATTTTCTTCCTGCCCAGGACAGTCCCTGAGTGCTTTGTTTTATTTAGTGGTTATTTCTATGTTGCTTCAGTCATTTCTGCTACAGAAAGAGACCAGGGACCCAGGCCCAGCCTCTCCACAATTCACATCCTCCTCACCACAATGGCAGCATCACTACATTTGGGTCCCATGGTTGCATTAGAACCTTCGTCCTTCCTCTGGTTCACAGCCTACATCAATTATCTCACTGAAAGCCATTTCCAGAGGCAAACACAGAACTGCACACGACTTTCTCTGTGGACTCAGGTGAGTCGATACAATATTATCATTTCTATTTTGTTGGTTTGTTTTTCTTGAGACAGACTTTCAGTGTGCAGCCCCAGCTAGCCTTGAACTCACTATGTAGACAAGACTGACCTCAAACTCACAGAGATCTGCCCACTTCTGCTCTGGAGTGCTAGGATTGAAAATGTGCAACCCGTACATGGCTACAATCATTAATTCATTAAAGCAAATTCACCCAAGGCAACATTCAAAGCTAGTGAGAATGGACATAAATCCATTGTTTGGAGGTTTTTTTTTTCTTTCTTTTTTCTTTTTTTGAGGTTTCAATATTTTATTCAAGTTTTATTTTAAGTGATGTTAATTACAGCATTTGAAGGGGAGGAGCTCATTCCACACAAAATGGAAGACTCTATAATGTACCCATTAAACTGTTAATTAGAGTGATGAGGCTCTAACAGAGGTCATTTAGATCCCCAGTGTTGTCATGGTGTGACCACAGTCATCTGCCCAGCTCAGAGCTGGAGATCCTGGAAGATGTTTCTACTCGGGTGCAATGGTATAAAAAAAAGGAATTAAAAAAAGAAGAAGAAGAAAGAAAGAAAAGAAAACCACACTACAGCACAAGGAAGAATTAAATCCCGAATGACTGGCTCCATCATGCCCGCCCTCTCCATCCTAAAATGGCACAAAAGAAATAGCTAACCACACCCCGAAGACTACTCTTGGTGTAAAACAGGTAACTGATGGACTAGGATGGGAGATCTGTCTAAAAAGGTCCCTTTCACAGGTGTGTGCCTTCTTCAAAGCAGTGAGGATCGGGACACCAATGCTCAGGAAGTCACAATTTCATCTGTGGACTCGATACAGATTGACAAAGGGCCCGCACATTCCCAGCTTCCACTTAAGACCTGGCATCCTCAACCACACATCTACAGCTAAAAGGACCCTTTCAGGAATAGAGTTTCTACTGTACCTCTGAAATGGTAAACACCTTAAAGCCGGGTCATCCTTAGCCTGGAGTTCTAACATGGTGTTTATCAATTCTTGCATCCCCAATATACATTGAAAGGTACACTAAATTCTGAAGGTATCTATGCTGCAAAATAGTTTAAAATTAATGATTGTACAATATTCATTTATGCTTGAAATTCCAGTCTTAGACCAAGCTTGTGGCCACCCACATTAATGTCCTTGCCGTCCAGCAGAGCTGAAAGCATCAGTTTGAGCCCTGGCTTTAGTGTCTGGGTGTATCCTAAGCCAATCAGGCTAGAGTAGTTCCCTTTACATCAGAGTCAACAGATACTTGACTGCTATTCCAAAGTGAGTGTTGCTGTTTCCTGCTGTCCAGGTGAGGTTGACAGGACTCTTCAACTTCTCATTCACCTTCTGGTAAATGGAGCCACCAAACTCTGTCCCGTCGTTCACATTAGTATGAAGCTGAAATTTGTCCCCCTTGTAGCCAACTGTGAAGTTGTTCTGGGTCACTCAGGACTTCAAGGTCTCAAAATTCATCTGGTACCCAGCCAGCCAGCCCTCATAGCCAAGGGGCCCAGACTGAGGGCCCAGCGATGTCAAAGTCCACATCACAGTCCAAGTTAATATGCTGTAGCTAGAGTTTTCCTGGTCCTGCCTGGCCCACCGTCAGGACAAATCTCTCTCACCCGCCAGTCCCGCAGCCACTCAGACCCAACCAAGTAAACACACAGAGACTTATATTCCTCATAAACTGGATGGCTGTGGCAGGCTTCTTGCTATCTAGTTCTTAATCTTAAATTAACCCATTTCTATTAATCTATAAGTTGCCACATGGTTCATGACTTACCGGTATCTTAACATCTGCTTCTCATCATGGCAACTGGCAGCGTCTCTCTGCCTCAGCCTTCCACTTCCCAGAATTCTCTTCTCTCCTTTTCCCGCCTATACTTCCTGCCTGGCTACCGGCCAATCAGCACTTTATTTATCAATCAACCACCCACAGCAAATGTGTTCCCTCTTGTACTCTGTCTTGACTTTAGCATTTTTACCCCCAGTGTTAGGGGAGAAGAATGAATCAATGGTCAGCTTCAGTCCACACACAAGCTGGTGATCTCGGTGCCCAGGGTGTTGTCTGTGTCCACTTTCTGCAAAGGTCAGCCTGTGCTCTGTACTTGGTTTCCAGGCTGCCATTCACTTTGGTGGTCTCTGTGCTGGCTGAACCTGAGCTGGTAAATTCCAGTCCAATCTTGGACTTTGTTTTCAAATCAAGTTTTATTAAGAAAAAGCCATAGCCCTTGGTGACGACATCCCTGGCAGACTTGGCAAGATCAGCATATGTGGGAGGCATAGCCACGCTCTTGGAGAAAGGGAACGGCGGGAGCAGAGGCAGCTATGGCGGGGGCTGTGGCTCGGAACCTTGAAGTGTTTTTTTTTTTTTTCTTTTTTAGTGATTGTGGTTTTAAAAACAGAATTCTTCCAGGTCTTTGTAAGAACAAAATAACAAATCTTCCTGATGACCCATTTTTTGCTTCTCCATTCTTCCAACAATGACACTCAATTATGAATCTGCATTTCAGTCTTTCAGTGAGAGCCTAGGTAGATTTCTTCCTAAGCAACTAGCACAAAGTGTTATTTTCTTCCTGGAAGTCTAGAGGAATTATTCATTCAAAAAGTGCAACATATGGTTCTATGTTCACCAATGAACCGTGTAAACGTTGACATCACGAATTATTAGAAATTTCCTAAAACACGAGTTAGCTAGAAATATGGTGTGTAATACTGAAGTTCTGATTGAATGCACAACTGTAGTAACAAGTAGAAAGAAAGTTGTATATAAAGGCAGAATTCTAGCCCACACCCAGATGCACCAGCTCTGGGCGACGACTGAGGACATCATTGCTCAAAGGCTGTGTGGTGCAGTTTATAAATGAGTTTCTGCACAATCAGATAGAAGGCCGTTTTTCATTAGCATAATCCCTTACTGGGGAGCCAGAGACTGTTCGGGTTAAGAACACAATGTAGTGTGGGGCAGACAGGCAAAGGTAGAGGGAAAAAGCTAGCAACTTCCTGCTACTGTGGCTGGGGAGAGGCTGGACTGTCATCCACAGGCCTCCTCTGATTAGCTGCTGGTTGTGGGGTTGGAGAGTGATGGGCAGCCCATGGACGGACTTTAGAACAGTGTTCTTAGAAGAGATGCTCATGCTGACACAGCCCAGGCAGGACAAAATAGAGAGTACCTGATGTTAGTTCATTTCTATTTGAAACC